GTCCGTGGCTGTTACTGTGATGTCATCCAGGGAAGACTCTTTCTGTTCGAATTGTGAACCCCCAAATTTACATATTATAAAAATTTCTGAGAAAAGGTTTGATGCTTGCTTATTGTCATGCACATAAAAAACAATGAATCAGCAAAGAAAATTTAGTCCAGCAAAATCGATAAAAATGCAGGACTTTTCAGTGAACAAGCCAACACTGAGACTATCTTCTTGGGATGACATCACAGTTTTGGTTATGAATATGCTCATTAACATAAAACCCAAACATGTAAAATAAACCCTTTGAAATAGCCAAACTAAAAGTGAAAATAAGGTTCACTGAGATCGTGGCACAAAAGTGCACTTTGAACGTTTGTATTAAAACAAATTGATTGGAGCAACCGTCAGTTCAAGGCATCCCACTTCAACACATACGCATTTCGAATATCTTGTTAAATCCTTAATTAAACACATATTAAGTTTAGTGATAAAAGATAATTCAAACAAACGGACAACACCGCAAGGCAGTGCTGTTTCCGAGTTGTAGGGGCCACCACCTATGGTTATAAAAACTCCTAGTGCCAATATGGATTGTATAAGCAATCAATATCTGTCCAGCTGACGCCATCAACGAATGCGCGAAGGCCAACGTATTAACTTTCTATGTTCAGGGAGATGATCTTTCGGTAAGGACTTCAAGAACTAACTGGGTTGCATCCATTTTGACAGCAAAGTATGGGGCATTTATTTCCAACCGGCGAAGGTGCATTCCGCCTACCGAATTAGGGGGAGCTTTTCCAGCTGTATACCCTTGCCTTACAGGGTGCCATATGCGTTTCACACACTAATTTTTCGTATTAGGTTGTTACTCGGGCATGAATTTACCTTGTAGAGTCTGTATTAAAAGCCAAAAACAAATTCACACACTGTCGTTATTTTCCCTTAGCCTTGTCAAAGTGCACAGTCTTCTTCCCAACGCCGAGTGTCTATTCCCCATCCCCTCTATCAACTCTGCTTAGCGAAGGACAGAGTAGATTAAGGGTTGATGTGTTACGTTCATAGAGCTATAGCGCCAAGTTCTCATTCACCGCGCGGAGAAAATTTGACGCCGTCCTGGCGCAGACATTTTGAACCCATGAGCGTGCTTCTAGAACATTCGAAATCAGACAGAACGAATATCGAATATTGGATTCTACATGCAACGCGGATGTACAATGTACAGGAACGTCAGCGCATCTTTTGAATAAGACCCACAAGTACAGAGCAATGGCACATATTTCATCCATAGCTAATTATTTTAGAACAATTCTTTCCCTAACATTTGAGCAAGGTCGTCCGATTTCTGATGCATGTCTTTTCGATGGCTGTCTTTCGATGAATAGCCTAAGTCCAGCTAAACTGAAGAGTCATTCCCCTAATTCAGTCAGTGTCGAGTGAGTTGACGACTCTGGAGAACTAGACTTGACTATTAAAATATTGACAAGAATATACTCAGTGCTCTGAAATATGTAATTGCCGAGCTTTCGGTAACTGAGTACCTTCTTCAGGGCAGTATCAATTCTGAGAAAGGGATTGATGCTTTTTTATTGTTATGCACATAAAACATAAATGAATAAGCAAAGAGGACAAACTTAGTCCAGCAAAATCTACAAATCTGGACTTGACTCAAGTCTGATCCCCGTGACGTCTTCGTTTCTGCTTCGGATAAATATCGAGACCGCGCGCCTTTGCTTGCTTCGCGCCCTCTTGTGGTCCACTTATTACTACGAATTCAGTTCAGAAATCCCGATTTGACGAATCTGCCAACCATTTGTACACAGCGAATGGGCTCATTTACCAAAAGTGGTAGCAGCCAATCACATTGCCGGGCTTGTTTTTACGTCGTTTGTACCTGCATTATAATGAACGAGTCTACAAGTCTGACTACTTTGATTGGTGGAAATTAATTAAGCAAGATCATGTCGTTCATATACAATTATGAGTAACTACATATCACCGACGGGGGCTCCGATTGGCTCACCCGTCAAGTCGGACTAACTGACTGGTGACGTATGACACACGTTGTACAATAAAGGCTATCAAATGAGGCGTCTTATAAGGGTTATGGGAGTTGCGCTGCTGGGTCGCACCGAGCGCGACGACCGTGTAGTGCGTACCGGCTGAATTGGATTGGCTGACTAGGGAAGAGCAACTTAAGTTCGACTTGATTCAAGTCTATTTACTAGAGAACTGGCTGTCGTGTGCATCGGGTACCAGTAATATCTGATTAAAAAACAAGTCACGGCAAAATTCATGTGCAGCGCATACATGTATAACTGGGCACTCCAATGGATAAAGACATAGAATTCCACATTGTATCTATGTGTAAAACGTCTCATACACTACACACTTTAAACACTTTTGAGTGCGTGCAATAATTACTTCACGAAAAAATAGTGCCTAATCATAGTAATCATTGTACCGTATACGGTTCTTTCAGGAAAAGAGTGTTTCGCTTGCTTGCTTGACTGTCATCGTTGACTCGTCAAAGTAGCGGGTCAGCGACTGGAAGGAGCTCTTTCTTCTCATTCCCTTCTTACGATCTTCAAGAGTGGGAGACACTGGTGCATTTTCCTCGACAGCATCTAGGGGAGAATCCTCCGGGACATCATCGAGGGATGATGTCCCAGAAGATGCAGAGCGATACCCTATCTTGCGGAGGACTCCGGTCCACGATCCCTCCTCTTCTTCTCCAAAGACGTCACCGTCGACGATCGACTCACGCCTGGCTCGGGCGTAGTCCTTGTACTTGGCCAGCAGACTCTGGAACCGCTTGACGGTTTCCTGGTGTTTGCGAAGTACTACCTCGGCGAAGTCGGTGATGATGTCCCAGGTTTTCTTAATAATCTCCTCGGAGTAATACCAATTGGACGGGGTGAATCGGATGGCGTATATCCCTTTAAGGGAGGTTGGAACCATGTGAGCCTCAAAAGATTGGTTGATTCGTTGCAGTAGAAATTCTGTCAAATTGTTCTCCCCCTGTGAACAGTAATTAATTAAAATCTTTGGCTGTAACATAGGCTACGCTTGTACTCGGAAACACGACAAAATCTTTCTTGGTTGTTGTGTGAAAATGCCGCAAAATCATGAAGACTTGCAACGTTTTCCTCATAGTTCGGAAATCAAGACAATCTCCGCATCACTGGATGATACACTATACTTAAGGGGAATCAGCTTCGTACCTTTAGCCTAAAGCAAACGAGGCCAAACTTCACAGTGCCGACAACCTCGAACCTGTCATCCGCCAGCACCCAAGACTCAAACAACTTGGCTAAGGCAACGTGCTGTGATACAAAATTAATCCTCATCAGTGAAATCATGTTAGTTGAAGCATTTGTTATTTGTTTGACACCTAACAGCCCCTAAATATGAAAAAATAAATAAGAAAGGATTGTTGCCATAAACATAGAACGGGATTTTCAATCACCAAGTGAGAACATTGGCTCAGACAATTGTTTGAAGGTAAATTCTGCAAGTTTATTTTTAAAAAGAGCAACCAAACAAAACTTGAAACCTTAAATTTAAAACATACGTCCAGATAAGGTTTACATAGACTCTTCAAAAATAGATATAAACGAAGTTTTTCAACAAGTTTTTACTACAGTTATTAAAAGCAAATTTGAACAAAACAATCTGTCGATTGACTAACCGATCTAATGTAAGCTTGTAGTCCTTCCACGCCGTACAACCTGATGACAAACCACAGTTTCAAAGACCGGAATCGGCGGCTCAGAGGGATGGTCCAGTTCTGTCCAAGTTGGAATGGCATTTACTAATCAAAAATGAGCACTTGAAAAGATGACATTCGAACAACTCCTTATTGCGCAAAGGTAGTTTTAATACAGCAACAGAAGGAATAAAACAGTAAACACAAACGAACTGCACGAGGATTACGTGAGATCACGTGACCTCTTTAAAGTCACCTTCCAGATGGTTTTGTTTTGTTACCCTGTAATCAAGCAAGTGCTTCTCTTGTTCAGCTTCCATGTAGTAGATGCGGTTGATAGACAGTGCCTCAACTAGCAAGTATTTGTTCCTCACCCTGTAAAATTGTAAAATGCCATTGCTCAAATTACATACTTTTGGTAAACAATTTTTCATAAACTAGTACATCCTGAAGCCCCTGATTATTCAGCAAGAGGTCAAAATTGTTGGTTGCAAGATAGTCGCGGGCAGGTATAAGTGGATTTTGCCGCTTGAGATTGCAGCTATTCATCAGTGTTAGAATTAGATTTGGTGACAAACTTATCGCAGATTGAAGAAAAGACCAATTGCCAGAGGTCGGTAACTAATTTCCCGGGCTAGAAAACCATTAACTTAGCACGACATCGCTTTGAGATGTCATCGGGGTCAAGACAGATCGTATAAAGTATGTTTAGCCTATATGGACTCGTAGAGATTAGCGAAGATAAAAGAAACTGGAGAATATTCACCACATGACTGAGCAGTCTAGGCCGACGTGCATCCACTTAATAGGATTATAGTTGAATGACGATACATACTGGAACAAAATGGTAATTAATAGTAAAGTATATTTGAGTGACATGTCGGATATTCGTTTGCACTCTCTTCTAGCTTCTTCATTTGCTCACTGTCAAGAAGCTAAGACACTCATCATTACAGTCAGGCTAAGCATGGGCGTCGTCAGGATTTCCCCACGAGGGAGTACATTCACCACATGGAGACAATTTTCCAGAGAAAGATTCCTCTGATAATTGAAATGGCTGTGAACTTTTCTCGAAACTAAGTTCTGCAGGCGAGGGTGTAGGGGTACAAAGGATGTATACCACGCTGAGAATACGCGCTCTAGCCAATCGGCGTGTTTGTAGGTATGACGCCAATGTGTGAATGCCATGTCATTGTTGTTATGGAATATCTTAAAAAAAAAAGCACGGGCTTCCGCTCCTCTGTAAACGTACAATATCACGTGGCAAACCGCTCTCTGTTACTGCTTTCCGCCACCAAGGGCATGTATAAATGGGTATTTAAATCCCACAGTATGAAGTTTAATTTGATTAACACAGTGGTCGATGATTGCGCGGAAGTATGACATTCGTGCATGCACTGACATGAATGAATGTGCATACCATTTGGAGTATGCAACATGTTACTGATGCAGAAAGTCGCCCTTGAAGCGTAACATTTCATACGTGTTACCTGGAACCCATTGAGTAGATACTTGAACTCCGGACAGATGAGTGCGTTGCCAGCATAGGCTCCGTCCACGTGAAGCCACAGGTCCTTCTCAGCGCAGACTTGGCCAATCTCCTCGATGTTATCCACAGCTGCGCTGCTTGTTGTACCCATGGTAGCACAGACCTTGTACGATACAATCAAGCTGCCAATCAAAGTCCAAATTTATCCCTGGAATTTTTTTTTTAAATCCACAGACAAAGGCAGCATGTGACATTTTGCTGTTACATGACAAGGCTTTTTACGATTGGTACTGACCCAATTTACCATTTCTGGCAGGCAGTAGGACGGATGGTTAGAAGATTGGGACATGAGCATCGAATATTTCATTTGTCCCCGATTTCTTTCCTCCAGAATGGGAATTGTAAGTCTGTTATTATTGATACAAAAACAATGTTATCAAAAATTGTTGTTGTCGTTTTAAAAGTATGCATATAATGTATGCCAATTAGACTCATTATTCCATTGATTTTATACTTAAAAGCTTTCACATGACCCAGTTCGATTTATAGGCATAAGTATCCTTCCAGAATAGTTTTTGAAACTATCCCTGGAGGAATATAAACTATTGCGTCCTTTTTCTCGGTGAAGTATGTCAATAGAGGTACGGATGAAGCAGCCTCTAAATGTGAAAAGGATGATTTTACTCACGAAGAAGGGAACCAGTCCACTTGCTATATCTTTCTGCACGATAAATAAAAAGAGGTAACAACTGTGATATTTATCGTGAAGTACAACTCACACAAAACAATTTACTGCAAGTTAATTCCTTTTACTTTAGGTTGATGACCTGTACTGTTATTATACTAGCTTTACATTTTTCAATACTTTTTTGACCGAAATAGTTTTATATACAAAAATATTCAACAAAAACAGCATCTGAAATCACTCGATACTGGATAGACAGTTTTAAAACTCAATTTCAGCCATTTTAATTCTTTGAGCCATTTTTGTAAAACGTCTATTCAGCCGTGTGGAATCACGTAATTTTCCCAACCATAACAACTCAAAAATAAATTTGCAGTCGCCGTGACTATGTCTAATATTTTGGAGCAGTTGGGGATATCGGTTCTACGTGTTCAATTAACAATATAGCTTTATAGCGCAAGATAATTTCAACTCATGATATACCGCATGTATAATTCATAAAACTGAAGCCTGTCTTGAAACGATGCTGAGGTTTGGAAGGACAAACTCACAGTAGGCCTACTGCGTTTACACACTCCACCCAGTGTACCTTTCAAGCCTTACCTCCACTGCTTCGCGTAGAGTCTCCCCTCGGAGAGCGAACTCGTCATCGGTCGGTAAAATGTGTCTTTTCACAAAGGCAACATTGGCCGCCTTCTCCACCGATGAATGGGCCTGATAAGAAAACAGAGTGTCTTCAGACTTTTGGATAGGCGTGTTTAGGATGAGGCAAGAACGAAGATAGACATTTCGGGTTGCGTTCTTCACGATGTTTGTATGTGGCGTCTCTCTCTTGCCATTTCGGCTTGTTTAGATTTAGACGGCTTCAGCGGCTTTGACAATTTTCATTATTATATTTCATCCTGTTCCTAGCTGTGCATTTATACTGTCTTATCTCTGAATAGAACACATTGTGCCGTAACGATATGGAAAAATCCCCATAACATCATCTTGCAGGATTACGAATTTATTCCATCATTTTGACCAGCCTATCCACAGTCAAAACTTAGTGGCAGGGTATTTGGAGGCAACGCCAGAGAGGAACTCTCATGCAATGGGTTATTGTACCTCTTCCGAGAAATAAACCACCAGCTTAGATAGCAGGATGCACTCATCTTCATCTGGTTGTGTCTCCTTCATAGCGTTAATTGTCTTTGTTCTGGCAGCAAACAGACACACGAGAGTGCACTCACTGGATGAAGTCTACCAGATGAAAAGAAAATAATGAAAATGAAACAATAAAAGCATTAAATTAGATAATTCAATGAAATCAATTCTGCGTGCATTTCTAACATGGGAAAGGTTGTGGCAAAACTACAATCTGGATCCGAGTTCTCCTTTCTTTACTGCGGGAAGTCCACGTTTAAAGTTTGGGAGAAGGGGGTTGAAGGAAAATATAACAATTCAAAGAAAATATAGTTCTCCGAGGATAATTGTCCGTGTTTTCCGATGATTGAAAGGATGCACTGCTGAAAGATATATTACAAAACAAAATCGCGAGAATAAACGAATGATTTGAAGATAATTTTTGAATAAACTTTAAAAACTGAACGTTATTTCAGTCTTGAACTTACTGAAAGCAATCCCCACGCCAATAGCAAAAGTGTTTGAACAATCTTTCTTCCGTTGCCCCTGTGCTGATACTGCTGCGTACCTTACTAACCCCCATTATTTTGCTCATCTGGATCTACCCCATCTGGATTTTGAGTTACCTTTGCGAACCAGTCATGTTCCGGGCAACGTCAGGAATAAACCCCTGACCGTACCTTGCCTTGTCTCACAGCAAATCATTATAACCAGCCATTGCATCGTAATATGATGCTCAGCAGTTTCTCAGTCCTTCCACATGGTTAACGGCCCTTCCGGTGTGTTTGGACGTCTCTTGTGGGCCATGCAATATTTTCGAGGTTGTCGTAATTAATTTCTTTGCCATTCGTGTAGGCCTAATTAATTATCTTGGAAACAGACGAAGGCACTCCAAAGTGATTTAAACACATTTACAATGAAATGATAGAGCACATTGTGGAAAAAACATTATCTGGGCTGGGCAAATGCATTAAGAACGGTAAGTGACTTTCATACTTTCTGGCCTGTGAACTACGAATTCCTCCATGCATCCTCAAGTCGATGTGGTACTGTTTGTTATATTCACACCCATCACACGTCCCTCCTGTCTCATTCCTTATACCAAATAGACCGCGCCTATCCTTACCTGAATGACCCCTCCCCCTTTACACCCTTCGGTGTACGGTAGCAGTTCTTTGGGTAGACCCATCATGCGGCCAACCCAGTCAACCATGACCGTCTCCAACTCTGTCATGACAGGGGAGGCAATCTTTTCCGGGAGTAAAATCAAAATCAAATTGTTGTAAGTATAATTTTGTCAAGACATCCCCCGCCAACACAAAGGCATGGGACTGATGTGTAAAGTACTCGCCTCTCACCACTGTGCTACTGGATACAAGTACCAGGCCGAGCCTTTACGTGCGTAGATAAGAGTTGTGTAATGTAGTCTTGTGTTATCACGCTTGGTTCTCCTGTTTTCTTCCCTCCGCAGACATTCACACTCAGGCCTAAGATCTCTGGCTCTGCTCTGTTGGCAGATTTTAGTTATTCTTGGGTCTTCGGTTCGACCACGTTTTAGTTTAATGTCTTCTGTTTTGTGCAGCGCATTTGAAATGAATGTATGAATTTGTGCATTATTAATTTTCATTTTTCAATATTATAGTCAGGATCCTCGCAGTTGCTTGTAATACATTAAACAAGTAAAATATCGCTGTGACGTTACTTTGTTTTGATTAGGTAATGAAATTAATGTTCTCACCCAGGTAAAACTGATACTGCCCAGCCCGGCTGCCAGGAACTCGGCCAGCATGGAGGGGTAGGAGTTACCGCCTGGGAAGTAGGCGTGGAAATGTGGATGCTGCCAGTGGGTCATCTAACCAGGTAAATCAAGTCAAATCACAGGTTTTATTTTCGTAAAACTATGAATCCGACACCGTGGTGTAGCTCTATGGTATTACGTAATGGCGACAGTCGTGAAGTACATAGTACAAATGTGTTTCCTAATTCGGTAGCGAGTGGGAGTTCGGTAAGCTAACCAATCCAAGGGACTTACAACATGTACACCCTTGGCAGTGGCGTATAGCTGAGGGGAAGAGAGGTACGCACCCCAAATACATTTTAGACAAGCGCCACATAAGAAGATTCTGTTGGGTCCCCCACCCAACCTCGCTTTCCGATTTTACAGAAATAAGGGTGACTGACAAAGAGCAAAGACACAAAAAGTTCTCCTTAAGTTTTCAGCACGGATACTGGGTAACCCAGATTCGCATCAACCCCCAAGTGAAAAGGACCGTGTTTGCCGTGAGATAAACCTAGAACGACAATAGTGCAGTCGGTATACTCCGCAAACCTGCAAGGAAATCGCCAAAAAAATGCTCAGTGTTATGTAGTCCTCCAATAATTCAACCTTGCTCCCTGTTCTCTGTGGGGCCCAAGCTTTTGGCTCCGCCCTGGTTTATGACATTTTCACAATTGTTTGTCAAACGTAGGCCGGGTTCAAACAGGCTTCTGGACGACAGATTTATAATTTTTTTGCACCAAAGAGTGACGGCATTTTGATGTTTACCTGGGCCATGAACGTTCAACCTTCACCACATCAAGGTTCCACCTTGGCGATATGCATATTCCACGGTGCTTGATATCGTGATATGAACGTTCCACTGTACGTTCAACCTTGGCCATTATCTACCATGAACGGTGCTTGATATCGATGTTGCATCGTCATTATGTTGTCGTCATTTTAAAACCATACGTCTTCGCAGTATTCGATTGTAGACCTTGTGCTACGATGATTCTTCGCAAAGTCAACCATGGACATGCATTGAATTTTGAATGAACTACGTTGTCCTCGTTCGGGCGATCAACAGTATATAGGAATTAATGTATATAATCGTGTACATACTCGTGTATAGAATCGTGTATATAATAATTTTTGATACTCTGTTCAAAATGAGCAAATGAGTAAAAGGAATATCGCCCAATTAGGATGAAAAAATACATGTCGCGTATCTGTCTTACAAGTTCTGAAACTGCCGCAGTATTTCTGTCACATCACGAATGTAAATTTAGCGACTTGACGTGAAAGTCGGGTATCTACCAACTGTTATTCACATCATGCGAACTTTGTAATCAGCGTTGTACCGGCTATGCACTTGAAGAAGGCTCGGAAGTTTTATAATTATGTTGCATTAATTACAACTCTTAGTGCAGTTTCGTTAGTGCAATTACTGAGTAAGCATTCGGGACGAGCCTTGTGTGGGGCTCTGTGTTTTTTAGATAAGAACGTCACATGGCCGATACTGCTTTGGCAAAGATCAACAATTGAACCTTCACTATTCAACGTTCATCATTCACTGTTCATCACTGACGTCGCTAACGTAAATGTGACGAACTTGAAAGGCAGATACGTATGCCCAGCCACCATTTGCATCACTAGTGAATTATATTCAGCCAACTTTTTTCCAGAGAAATTTCCAGAGCGATTTATTTATTAATTTTTTTTTTGTTTCAACTGAGTACCGGTCCCTCACCGATCCCTTTTCTACCCCCATGCATGCATCGATTTCAACCGTGGAGGTAGAAATAGACCTCTGTGGTTCAACCGTGTTTGGAGCCCCTTTGTGCTTGCTCTGTGCTTGAAGCACGTATAGGCCAAGGTCATATGTAATTAGCTGGGTCTGAGCTCCGCCCACTAGCACGGCCAACGTACGGGACGTTCAGGACACCGGTCAAGCAGCAGGATGTGCTGAGCGATATCCAACCAGCATGGCAATGAAACGTTCACATCGCAATATCAAGTCCCGTACGACACGCACCGTATCCCGAAGGTGGAACTTTCGAAGGTTGACCCATGATATGGGCCATGGCCAAAGTTAACACTAAAGTGTCACCGTGCTTTCGTACACGTACATGTAGGTATGTATGTTGTTGAGTCTTCAAATGGGGGATGATCTTGGAGCTCACCAACCATGGACAATTGAAAAGTGTGACAGATCGAGGAGGGGCGCTGCTTGTTACACTTGCCTATTAACTAGGCCTACCACACGTATAAAAAAACGTTCGCAGAACCTACAATTCTCAAAGTAAAAAACAATAGTTTGAAAAACTATAGAACCGCTTAGGTAAGTTGCTTTGTTACAGTGGCGTACATTTGTGCTGTGGGTGGGAGATTGCTGGGGCAACTTGCCCGTCTATGGTAATTTACTAAGCGCAGGGAGGCCGAGTCTCTTATACCACGTGACACTAGTGGGCTACGTTCATGATACTACCAGATACACTACTAGAAACTTAATCAAAACTATTTATGGCTTTAAAACTTATTCTCGTATTTTGAGTAATATATATTTTGGTTATTGGGGAGTCCAAAAAAATTCTTCACCGTAAACTTCCAAGTTGATTGTTTATCTCATCGCCAAAAGTGTGGGGGTGATTCAATACCCTGTTCCCCGTTCAAAAAGTAGGCCGAGCCTCACTCTTCTCCACGGAATTTACGCTTATGTTTAAATGTTTTCGAGCCAGTTTAAGGCGAGCAAGTAGATTGCCCTCACATTTTGACTTTTGTTTGATTTTCATATAGTAAACGCTATACGCTTCAACGGTTGGTGCATTTTTTAAGTTTGCGTCATCTATTTCAGTGGTTCCAATTGGTTGAAGACTGTGATAATCAAAGAGATTCAGATACAACTTACAAGTTGTGTAATGTAAAAATACGTTTGAGGCAAAAACTTCATTGGAAGAGGCTTTTATTATTATCATTATTTAGTCGACTGCAACTAAACAAAACACAAAACTAGAGTAAACTATTTACGGAAAAATGAAATGAAGGAACTGTTAAAGTACGAATACAGCAGAGATTTAATTTAAAAAAATAGAGGAACCTTGTGTATGAGGGGAGCATATCCAGGTGTGAGAAAATAAATAAGCATCGCAGCTACTCCCCTTTAAAAATATTAGACAAGAAAAGTCAAGTACTCTGTGGGTCAAGAACAACCAAGGTAAACTAAATTATATATTGTTGCTCGGAAGCGGGTCATCCATATGACATAACCAACAAAATATAACACGGAAACAGAGAGAGTAAAAACGACCAATCAAGTCGCGCACCTGCATGCAGGATAAATCGGGTAGACAAAGTAATTCAGGCAGGATTTAAGCAAATATCTTTAAGATGCCAGCTACTTTGTTGACTTACTCCAGGCAGTATCTTGTCGTATACGTCTTTCATCACGTCCTCCCATGCCTCAGGTTGATGAGGAGCGTTTGCGGGAAGCAACTTGTGTAGATAGCCAGGCTTCACGGAGGGTAACACGGGGCGGTCCCTAACACCTTTCAGGTAATCTACGATAAAATCGGCCATCTCATTGGCTGCACGACGGAACGCGTCCCCGTCCATACTGCAATCCATCCTAGCTGTGTTCTGAATAACTTGAACTTGAAAACTCAGCTGAAAGATTTTTGTTGAACGTTCTCGTGTCAAATGACCTTATCCTGAGAGGCAAACACTGATATAGCGACCGAACTGCAAAAACTTAGGTCTCAAGGCTGGCACGTCAATCACCGATGGCACGCCAAATGCCCAAATTTGCATCATATGGGTAATTTGCTTATTCTCTGTTTGCAGTAGCGCCGCGAGACTGTGTCCAGACTTGAAAATGGGCAGTTTATTTAAATCAGAGTGGCATTCACGGTAATTCAAGATAATTTGCAAAATCCTCAAAGCAAGCAAACGGTGGCGTAAATATGTGCTGAAAATGGGGACGGGGCGGGGATGACTTGCCCGGCCATGAAATTTGAAAAACGGGGGGGGGGGGGGGGGAATGACACCATGACTTTAATGGTCGATGTTCATGATACCGATGTACATCTGTATTGTGCATTTAGAATGGTATATTTATGGCTTCTTAAAAATTATTTTCCTTTTTTTGAGTAGTGCTGAATGCCCTTCAGTGTGTGTGTGGGGGGTGATTCAATAGTCCCCTCCCCTCAAAAAGTGTGGAGGTGATATATCCCCACCATTTACGCCCATGACCGCAAAGATTTCAGAAAATTGGTCATTCCTCCCCCAAAAACAGTAGTCTGGAATGAATCTGCAAACTGAATACCGAAGAAGACAATATTTCTGAAGTAACATGCAGTGGGGAAACGTCTTGAAATATCAGCTATTTAATACATTCTCCCATTAATGGGGTATGTAGTTACAATAGGCGTTCCATCGCACGGATTTTTTTCCTCGTGTGATAATCAACGCCAGTTTTTATTTGTGAGCGTAGATCACTAAAATACTGTCAGTGATCATGTGGGATGTGAGCATGGGTTGAACTAGAACAATCGAACTGGACATAGTTATGGTGCTGTCGTCTACATGACTGGTCGTCAGTGCGACATTGTTCTCAAGACCTGAAATTCTCCAAATAGTATAGGTTCAAGTCAGCCTTTAAGGTTAATACGGTACTTGTGTCCTTCTGCAAACTTTTTGTTTCACCTCACCAAAGAGTGAATGTGGACTTTTGAGGACAGAGATGTGTAAATGTCGTATCTAAAATGTTGGTACTCAAACTGAACTCCAGGATCAAGCAGCTGTATGGGGTGTGCTTCAACATCCGTTCACTGTTTGCCCACGTTTTGTTGGACGTACTAAGCCTACTGTTCGGACTGCATCTTATTTGTCTCTGCTGGAAAAAACTCCAGTGGAACATGGGCAGAAGCAGCAGAATTTTTTTCAGTTACAGTCTTTTCTGGATTCGCTGTTGTCGATGCTATGGATAGGCCTATAACAAATAGCGCCCTCTTTGACACTATTTGTTCACCTGCGAGATGCAAGATGATGAATGCGAGATGCAAGATGATCAATTCGCTCGTCGCCCAGCTAGCACCCGAACAGAGCGCAGGATGGGAAGGGCTGATGGCCTTGCACAGATTTTAGTGGAGGAAATAAGTCACACACGGGGTCACAACTAACGACGCACAGAGCATTGTGGGTAAATTTCTGCCAGGCGCGTGAGCTTGCCCAATGCGTTACTCAAGCGGCGGTTGTCATTCGATGTTTGTTCTTTTTCTTCCTCATTGCTGAATATATTCTCACTGCGCTTTATTCGTTTATCCAAAATTGATTAAGATAACCAATGATTTAAAATAATATCGCCAGAAGACACGTGATCAGTGATAATAAGAAGATAAATTACCACACTTTGATTGTTCCAAGGCCGTGTTTTTATCATACAGCCGACTCTTTGCCCGTGCCAAGGCATTGCCATTGGCGAACCAAAAGGTTGAATAACGCTTCACTAAGTGTCAACCTCGCGGTCACAGGTCGTGCACGATGTAGCCAATCACAGTGCAAAGCCATCAGCGAGGTTGATCGATTAATTAATTAATACACTGAGCTTGGTCATTAGTGTGAATTAAAAAAAAGTATGATTGTGAGATGATTTTGAGCAGTTTCTGGCCAATACTTAATTTCGTAACGATACACTAAGTAGAACACTTCGAGGTAGTGACTACCTGTAGTTATACCGTCTTCAGGGTCGTTGCATAACTGAGCCAACTTTAAAATCACCAACTTGCCAAATGTTGTCGGCAAGATGAGGAATACTTCCTTGCCATTGAGGACACTGCTTAAAATCTCCAGTGTCACTGTGACACGTTCTTCTGACAACTGTGTCTTTTCTCAGTGACCCAATGGGTGAATCCAGGACCAAGTTTTCGGTTGGGGGCTTTATTTCAGGGGAGCCAAAAAAATTGGATTTTTTTTAATGTAACCTTTTGTTGTCTGTCTAAGGGTAAGGGTAATTTTTGGGGCTGTAACACTGGAAATAAAATAGACAAAAAAAATCTCCTTCCATCATTTTGCAAAAGATTTGGCACTTTTGTTGAAGGGGGCATTGCCCTCGTCCCCCCCCCCATCTGGCCGTGCTCTGACTCCATTTGCAAATACTGCGTTTTATACATGTAGTTCAAAGATCGATCGACAACCAATATGAATGTGCCTCCAGTGACCAGAACACTTGCTACACAAAGTTGCTTACATTTATCCCCATTGGAATATAAACCAGTCAGAATGCTTACATAGAATTTGCCCGTGATGCTCATATGTCGTGTGCGAAACTGAAACCGAATTTCCAAGTCGGTAATGAAATGGTCGATCATCTGCAAATCGGGGACGAGGCAATCAAAGTTCCCATGCAGATGTCATTGTATTAGTGTGTAGAAAAAACCTGAATCGATTACCGACTTGCTACCAAGTGTAGGTAAGCTGTAGTCTTGCGTCAGCGGTACATGCGCCGTGTCAGAGCGCACAATCATTGCACTGACGGTACAGTGATTCACCAACACAGGCGACCTCTACCTACTCCTTTGTCGACCTGTCCTGCTAGTGGTTAAGTGCATCAATTCAAGCCCCATTGGAAAAAGTGTAAAATCAGGGTTGTTCAGGGCTCCATAACATACAAGCCGACATCAATGACGTTTCTCGAACAAAAACTAAATTATTGTTTTTTTCCTTACTTTTTCCATTTCTTATCAATTTTTGGAGGGTTAACAAACCACATTTTAATTATTCACGCAAAACAACCCTGAAAACTACTTGTTCTGCATGCAGCCATTTTTCAAATTATGGTGTCCCTCTACTTTCTAGGGCATTTGGGACCATTTTTCAACCTTTTCCTTAAACATCCAAAACATCCGAAAACGTTCTCGTCAACATTCGAATAGTATCGTTAGTGGTCGAACATTTTCGGCCGTTTATGTACTGATCAGCAACTTTGTATAAGTAAGACACGTTTAAAAGTACACAGTCATGTCATAATTGATGCCCGGTGGTGACTTAAAATGAAGCTTTCGTTGGCTCGTGTTTTGAATTCAAAGATAAATGCCGCCCCACAACTGTGGCACAGCCAAGTGACCAACATGACCAACAACGCGACATTCTAAAATGTTTCTTTGGGCAATCCAGCAGGTCTGGCTAAATGGTGTTCAGTTGTATTTTGTCTGTCTCAATGCTAACAATTTCTTTGTCTTGTGTACTTTGTGCCATTGTGTATTATGTAAGTACATCCCGAAAAATGAAATAAATCAAACGAAATGGCTTCCAGCCGAGACCACAGACGTCATTATTTTATCTGACGTTCGTGGCCAAAATAGGGCTTCCTTGGTGACCCCTGACATGTAACGCGATGTACTGCATTTATCCATAGACGTACTGTACAGTATATACCTGACCTAAGATGTTATAAACAGTCGTCAGGGGTACAGTCCACTAATTCAAGCTCCATTGAAAACTGTGTAAAATCAGCACTGTTCAGAGCCCAATAGCATGCACGCCAACATCCCCGAGATTTCTGAAACACAAATGAAATTCTTGTCTCGTCACTTATCTTTCAATTTCTTTTCAATTTTTTTGTGGGTTAACCAATTACATTTTTAATTATTCCCACAAAACAAAAGCACCCCCAGAAAGTGATTTTTCCGAAGTCTGATTGCAGCCATTTTTCAAGTGGCAACTCTCAACTTTTTCGGGCACTTAGGACCATTTTTCAACCGTAGTTTTTAGCCATTCTGCTCTCATATGAAGGCTCAAAGACCCAGGGAGTTGATCCCGGCAACGATTTACACAATCTCACCATTTTGGGGGCAAAACAAGTTCCTTTTTCAAAAGATATTGTGGAAGGGGGCACTTTTAATGCTAATGAGCTGGCCAGAAATTTTCACTTGAATTAGCGGTCTGCACCTTCAGGGGTGCAGTGTCCCAATTCAAGGAAAATTCTCCGCCAGGCCGAGGCGTTCAAAAAGTACCCCCAGAGATTGTTTCGAAAAGAGGGGCCAAGAAATGGTGGGATTGTGTCAGTATGNAACATTCACTTTTTTGGGGGTGAGGTTGTTTTGGGCAGATAATTAAAAAATTCATTGGTTAACCTACTAAAAATTGAAAATCAAATGAAATCTGAAGGACCAAACAACACATTGTTTTTTGTTTGAGAGGCCTAAGGGACTTCAGTTGCCTGCCATGGGGCTCCAAACTTGGTTGATTTTACACCATTTTCAATGGAGTTTGAATTGGTTCAGTGCACCCTCAGGAATCGTCAGATCAGGGAACCAGACTATGCTGCACCCGCAAGTTGCGTATGGAGGGCGCCCCCTTTGGTGAATAGCTGAGCGATATTATGCCCTTGCACCCTGCAACAACAGCGCACCGCTAACTGGCTTGGTTATCTTCAGGTGCACGGCACCGCTTACACAGTTGGCTTTTCACCCACATGAACACTGTTAAATCTCTCTGATTGAAGAATCGAGACCAGGCCTTATCAAGGGTTCTTGCAAAACCAAGGCGGTATTTTCAGTGATACCAAGGTACTTCATTTCGTTAACTGGGGCACATTTCTCCAAGCAAACAGCAAAGAACAGAGCTCCATATGCTCCTAGTTCTCCATCTAATGTCGATTGCATGAACCAAGTCTATCGTACCGAATCTTGACCTTGTCAGCGTTGCCGGTGCATGCTGTGCGAACGGTTTGCACGACGATCAGTGCGCACGCGAGCAGATTCCCTTCATTCAGCAGAACTCGAACCAGATCATTGTTGAAGCCTAAAAATTATGCTGTCTGCCGTTCGTGTTCCGTCACACCGCAAGACCCGCAGTGTAGATACGTACCATTCTACTCTCCTACCGACAAGTGGGTGTGCGTGTAAAATTGTACCTGCAGTCATGGCAGTCGGTCTGTGCATGGTCTCTGTGTGTGACTGATTCTCTGCTTGTCGAGCTAGTGTGCGTGTAGATAATTATCAGCGGACACGTGTCTGTACGCCCTGAGGGAGGCTCCAATGAAGTTCTGACGCTGATCGTTGGTGAGTAAGGTGCATAATTTATATGATGGTGATGCGCTCATCAGCCTATAGAGTATTGACAAATGGCAGTACAGATACTGAACCATCTAGATCTTGATCGCCACAAGCTTGAACAGGTAAGTCACTTTCTCTGGACACGTATGGTCTCTGGTAATCGTAACTTGAGTAGGCCTACATAACTTAATTTTTCCAGCCAGGATGTATGGATACAAGTAAGAGAAGTTTATGAGTGCAATGATAACAATATGGCCGGTGAGGTATCATCGAAGCCAAGTTTGTCACCTTGAAATTATTCTTTTCAATTGCTTTATACAGTGCGGAAAAATCCTGGAATTGAACTTACTAGCCGTAAATTTTGGTAAAGGTATTGTATAAAAAGGAACTTCAGACAACAGTGATGCCACACGTGATTGGACTACAAAGCACTGGCGTGATGCTCGTGCAATACCTTTCCTTGCAACTTGAAGTTATAATTCTATGGTTTGAGCATGTGGTTACGTATTTACATACATGATCAAAACCAGTGGCAATTTAATTTTTGGGTGTCTTGAAGGTCTCTTTGTAGATATCTGATAGTACAAACTCTTTAGCAGGACAATCGATGCCAGCAAAAGAAATATCTTTGATACTCTGAGCAGCTTCGCTTTTAAAACCCAGGTGACGTGCTTATGACTAGGAGGAATGGATAAATTCTTCGACATTTATGAAAAATAATAAACCCCATCAGTCTGCACAACCGCAGACCCCGAATTATGGCGAATATAGTTTCGTATATTATTGAGAAAAGTGCCGTACCATTGCATCCATCTCCCTCATTCATTTTTAATGCATAAAATAACTGTGGAGACGCTTTCGCATACACGATTAATAACATTTGATCGTATCCCATCAGCAGGTTTGTATTAATTGCACCGCTACTCATGGTATACACGAGGTCATGTTTACAGATTTCTTTTTTTTTTGTTGGTGCCTCGTAGATAATGCGGATGTTAAAGTTTTCCTTCGCTTTCCTAGTGACATTTGCTGTAGTGATGTTCTACTACATTTGGATCACGGACAAGTACAGCACCGGTAACTTGAGTTTATTCGTGCGTACATTTGATCAGGGTACAGTTTCAATACCGTTTAGTAAATGTTTCTGTGAAACAAAAGACTGAAAGAATGCAATGCAGACATTTTGGTATTTTGTGAGATTTCATTTTGAAGCTGTACGTTTCTGGTGCGCTTCGTCGTGCAGGTGATGTCTTCTCACAACCATCTCTGGGGAAAGTCGTCAGTAATGAAATTGAGACCAGACAATTCTCATCCACTATAAAATTCACATCTCAAAACCTACAAGTTCAGTTTGTCACTGAAAACAACGGCAGCGATACATTGAAAGACAGAAGTGAGGTTGCGTCACGAGACCCAGTAAGACCGTTGATCAATCTAGACCTGCAAGATGTGGATGTGGAGGAGCTGTCCCGCAGACTGGTAGTGGTGACGGCTTTCTCGGAGAATCACCGCCTGGAAGTGATGGGTATGATCGGTACAGTGCAGAACCACATGCCCGCCACGAGAGTCATCGCCTACGATCTCGGCATCGACCCCAGATATTTATCCAAAGTATGTACTGTATAAATGGGTGTAATTTTTATGGATCAAAAGGAGTATTTGGGGATGATCACCAGCAGGATTGATAAACATACCTATCTAAAATAAAAAGGGTGGACTTAAGTAAAAACTGGCAAACGTATATTGTGGAATTTTTAAGAGTTTGTACCTGATCTGTTTGATTTTATTTCGCATATTATTCATCATTTGAATGGAATGCAAGCATTGTTTTGTATGAAATGATTCCTGCAACAAAAAAGTCACGTTGCAAAATACACTACACAAAAAAGTTAAGGAATACTTTTTAGTATTGTCGTATACTTTTTTATATAAAATATTTTACTGCTGAAAATGTGCATTTGATGTTTTGAAACTTTTCATTTTTTTATTCTAATTAGAACACCATCTAGGCAAACAAAAACTGAAAGAACGAGACCCCACTCATTGCTTGGAAAAAAATTACAAATTTGGAAAAAAAGTGGTCTTTAACTTTTTTTTGAGTGGTGTAAATCCAGCTGGAATTCAAGGAGGCAGACAAAGATGTCATGCGGATCGATGAAGAGCTCACTGGACTTTTTACTTTTGAATTGAACCAACTTGCTTACAGTTGAGGAGATTATGTAACCTCGAGGTTCGACCCTTCGAGTTCCACAGATACCCTTCACATGTGTCCGTGCTCATGAAATTCGCCTGGAAACCGATCATTATAAAGGTTCGTGTCAGGCTTCTGTTCAGTACTTACAATCATGTGGAAAAACTCTGCTTTGAAGGTACTGTAGGAGAAAACAGAAAATGGGTTTTATTATAACGCTTAGTCAGTTTTCCTGGAAGTAGAAAAGTGAAAAAACCTCAAACTGGAACACTCTGAAACCTCTGTACTTTTCGGTCATTATAAAAAAAACAACAAATATTCACAATTTGTCCTCCAATATCCGGCAAAGCTGATGTGTTGATATACAGACCCCTACTCCCGTTTTGGTCTTATGGATTAAAGGTTGTTAAAATGAACACCACAATTTTTGCATTTCAGCTGATGGGCTACCAGTTTCGAAACCACCACCATATCGAAACAATTATTTGAAATGTGACAGTCATTGTGTAGCTTCTATGTCATGCTATTTTATGTGTGTTTTACAGGAAGCCTTGAATGAATTCGGTGTCATTTTCTGGGCAGACGCCTCTGTCAGGTTCCAAGACTCTTTAATAACGTTGCTGCCATTTGCCAAGGAACATCACGGCTATTTTTCGAAAATACACAGCTACACCCCGCTGAGTGCAGGGTCTTTGTCTGCTCCTGCTCTCCACAATTTCTTCCTCACTCATCGCAAAATGTTTGCTTACTTCGGCATAAAGAGAAAACGCTACGCAAAATCCCCAAATACACCCCACGTTGCCGCCAATCGGCAGCTGGTAATCAATAGCACGACCGTTCAGGAAAAAGTTATTAAACCCCTCTACGCATGTGCAATGGATGAGAATTGCATTGGTCCTCCCGGGGCGGTGCGCGGGAACCACATGTTCGACGCTTCGGCGCTCCTGCTCATCTTTTATAAGTACTGGCCTAGAGAGTTTAATAGAGATAACGACCACGTGGCTGACATGGACAGAGTTACGAGGATGCACCGTGAATCGGATGACTGGAGCCAGGCTAAATTGTGTGAGGTTTAGAGTCCCACCTCACCTTATCTCCAGCTGGCTAGCACTTTCATCGTTTAAACTCAAAACGAATAGAGACAATCACTTCGTGGCTGACATGGACAGAGTCTAGTCACGAGGATACAGCGTAAATCGCAGTCAAGTTCTGCTAGATTTTTCTCAGATTGTTCATCGCACGGCGCGCAGGCAGGGTGCAAACTGCTGCAACACTGAGATGCAGTTCTTAAAGGGAGGAATTTCAAAAGTGTTCGCTTAGTATTGGCAACAAGCTGTTTGCGTTTCTGTACTTACCAAGCATATCTCACTGGCAATCAAAAAAGGACCTAAAACCCCCTAAAAAACCAGCATGAGTGCATGATCGGAGGTAACATTTGGGAAACAGAAACAGACAACCCTGTCGCTGCCCTTGAATGGTTGAATAGCATCTGTAATTAAAATATTGTAAAACTCAGTTCTTCGTGAAAAGTTAGTTGTCTTGCACGTATGCATAGTGGTTGAAAACACACCAAAAAAACCAGTGTCGAAGAAATAGGGCTGACCCATGTTTCATGTAAACAGTATCGCAATAAGTGTCGGAAAGAGAGTGAATTAATTCCAAGTTAACCCTGGGAAAAGTAGAATATTGTAATTTTTTCATGGCCCTCTGATTCTTTTGGCTGAGTGGTGTTCAGCCCTGCAGTAATAATATGATGATTTCTACAATAGGAAGATTTTTTTCGTTTATTTGTGAACAAAAATTACATGATTTTCATGAGCATTTTCGTTTGTTAAATGTGTTTGAAATGAAACTGTCCATGCTGCCGAAAATTATTGGGCAAAGTGTGCCAAAAACAATTTTAGAATACATGACCTATGCATCATAATACTCACGGGGATGCAACCCTCTTTGTTAATTGAAGGGTGTCTCATAATAATTATTCCTTATGAGAATTTCCATATCTAAATCAAAACACATGGAGTGGTGAAACTTTTGACATTTTTTTCGGGGCGGATAGAGGGTTGTTCTGAATGGGGGAACTTTGAAAAGTTTTCTTTGTAGCGTTTTGCGGCCTTTCTGAGCAATGAGACTACATTTCGGGGCTTTTTACAAGCTTTTGGAAGGAAAAGAAACGAAACAGACCACAAAATGCCTTTCTCTCATAAAAAAAAACCTGATTCCTTGAGCTGGGGCCCAGGCAGGAAGGAGGTGCATGGCCCTCATTTCCTCCATCCTGGACCTGCCAGTCGCTCTTGCGTACTCGTTTTCCAGATCAGGGTTTGCTGTCAGTTGTGCCTGTACCGGCGTATGGGAGTGGAGTGGGGGGACCACAATCGTCAGATTGCCCGGTCATGGAAAATTTGGAGGCCTTAAGGCCTCACATCAGTAACGACAAAACGTTGTACGTTTTGCTCCTCGTTTACATGTAAAGATATAGGTCCTAATTATGTAATACATCCCGGTGGTTGTAATATTAAAAACCTTCAAAAGCACATCTTGTCACCAAAATGGGTATGTGGGAGGGGGTTGATGATCAAATGGCCCTCTGGTCAGACAGTGGGTGGTATGTATATATATCTTCCCCACCCTCGGGGTTATACGCCTCTGCTCTCTATTAAGTGCGGATTTCTTTTGTTTCTGTTTCAGTCATCATTGATCAGTGAATACAAAAAAATCGGTCAGGTACGTCCATAATAACTGGGCGGTGCTTGCGTCAGCTGACAAGTACACACGGGACGCGGCGGTCTTTGGGAACCGTCAGTCAGTTCTCACCCCATTGGCCAAACGATATGCGATGGTCAAAGTAAAGCAAATATTGACATAAAAGACTTAAACCTAAAAGAGGCGGGGGGCCGATTTCTTCCCCCGACATTTTTCAGATATCTCCTCAGTGTATTTTTTTCAGGATCTGAGCCTTTAGGGGATTTTAGAGTAACTCCTTGCGGTCATTTTAACACTAATTTTGTGAAAATTGAACCGACCGTACTTACGTAGTGCCAATTTTTCCCGAGACGGGTCAGCCAAAAATGTATACTTTTTCCACATTGCATGCGGGCTGGCACGCGTGTAGCCCTGAACTTCAAATGACCGTAACAACAAAACCTTTCGTCTGGTTGACTTCAAACTTCAAAGTTGTAAAGCTTTTACATTAGTTTCGTTGTGCGCTGGTTTTTGTATCAGTCATGCGTGCAGTGTTAAATCCGTCAGTCCATATTCATTGCCACCGTGGCATTTTCATTAACACAATTTTTGTACCAACACGAAACGAAATTTGTTTGCTTTTTGTTTGACAACTTTTCACCTTCAAGCAAAGTAATTTAAGGTCCTGTAACTCCCCTTCACAGGTTGAATTCACGTTCTGGCCTTGATAATCATTAACCCACACTAGACATTAATATTTTCCAATTATCAGCAAACGACTATGCGTAGAATTACTTTGTCTTTTGACGTGGTTTTCGTGGTGTGATTTTGCAACTCACTTAAAACCTGTATCAGAGGAGAGACCTTTTTAGGTTATTGGATTCAATCCAATCACCTTTTTGAAATCGTACGATTCCATCTTTCTCATTTTATCGGGACTAATTGCAAGTCCCAATTTTTAAACGTGGTACAACGCATAAACTGGAAAGTTGGTATGAACATCAACCCTGATGACGTCAAGTTCTATTTTGTTTTTGTTTTCTTTTTCGGTGGATATGGTATACTAGTTTCAGTGTAACAGCCGTAATAAATTAGCATCCTCCTCCTACCTTCTGATGATACGTGTCCTGTTTTGAGTGTTTTGTGCTTAACTCAGCCAGAAACAGTCGTTTTCCCTGAGCTACATTTGGGTTTATAATTCAAACACGAACCATAGATTATTTAAAAACGACAATGTAACATTATTAGAGCGCTTGCAACTGTCAAAAAATTATGAATATTCTACAGAAGTGGAAATTCGTTTGGAAATTCAATTAACTAAAATGAGCATTCTTTTATTTTCCTACTAGTACTTATACAGAATTTTTTTCAGATTTATAACGTGCAAAACTGGCTTTTCTGTATTAATTGTTAATGGGGATATCTCTGTTTCCAATAGGGTATCTGCATTATTAATAGAGATATCTTGCAGGATTAAATGTCAACTATGCACACCATACAAGTTAATGGCAAAATCGTTGGCACCCAACAGACTTCCCATCAGTGCGTTTTCAAGACAAGTGTGGCATTATCAGGGTTCGGGAATAACGGGGAATATTCATGATCATGGAGGTATCATAGATTATGACCCTTGCAGGGATCAGAATCCGTTCGAGGCGATGAAGACAATCATAAATAATTTGTTGTAAGGTGCCTCTTGGGAAACAAGTGTCCAACTCTCAGTGTATGTTTCCAGTCGAATCGTGATGGTATGGCTGAGAGCCAGACTTAGTGTTCAATAGCACGTATGAAATTACATTTGTGTGAACAAACGATATCTTGATTTAGCATGTGCATGGAAGATGCGTCTTGGTGCAATTGCTGCCTTTCCGAAAAAGTACCTCTTTTGAAACAAGGGTTGACATTACCCCCACGATATTAAATTTTTAAGTTGTTTTGATTTAATTTAATATTAAATTTAAATCTGAGAAGTATTTTTCAAAATTTATATTATTTTGGATCACTTTCATATGTGTATTCTTGTTCTTTGCCACCATCCGCTCTTTAAACTATTTGATACCTTCATTTGTGACTAGTTTTAACCTCAAGGTGAAAATTCCCATGTCTGTGGGGAGCGGAGGCGCACGCCCCAGAAATTATGGGATCAGACATCCTGCCAGAACACAGTTGTAGCAGAAAGAAGCTTGTGATGATTTGGTGGTAAATTTGTCGACACGGCGACGATTGGGAGTCAGGCTTGCTCGCACGTGACACTGGCACCTCGTGCTTGATTTGCGCATGCATAAGTTGGTAAACATGTACATGTACAGTGTATGTATGAAGGGTTGTCTTCGCGCTCGGCGAATTATTAGTCGTGACCGGTAGAGCTCGTTAGTTGGATTAAACGGCCATGCAATGAAACAATAATGATGCAGTCTTTGTAAGTGGGCCTTTGGGTCCCGTTTAAACCCATTTATGATGCCAATGTTATCATGTGAAGGGCATCTGCTGGCTTGTGTGTTTTATGCCTATACGTTATTCATGAACAAAAGTGTGGTGTCCCAGGTGAAACCTCATAGTTACATCTCTCTCGGCCCCGAAATTGCCAGAGTTATGCGTTACTTATGCTGTCTGTATTTTCTTTACGATTTGTGCGTTGGTCTGTTTGTAGTAGTAGGCCAGCGAGCACTTTTCACAAAAAAAAGGTTTTTAATATTGCTGTTGTTTTCGGTCGATGGCACTTTGGCGATTTTGTGCCATTTAACGGTACTCTTCTAAAACCATTGCTTTTCTGGGGTGCACCCTCTTAAATAGACCAAAAATCTGTCCGCTGAGCTCATTAATAGTTATACACTCAAGATATTCTACATTAGAGATGTCCCGAAAACCACGGAATTGGAAGAAATATGGCACAGAACCTCTGGACTTAAGGATTCCAATCCGAGCAATTTGGATGCAAACGGTCCGAAATTTAAAGTGGCATTACATGTATTCAGCTGTTTCATTTGTTTCAAAATGGCCACTTTTCCCAGCTAGGGAAATATCCTTCATTTCAGGGGTGTTCTGCTTTGGGTGAGAATTTCTCAAAACGTCATTGGTCAACCCACTGGCAAAAATTGAAAGGAAAATGAAAGACGACAGGTTCATCATCATTTTGCTGTTCAGCCTGAACACGTGTGAGTACTTTTAAAAGAATTTTGAAGTATAGGGATTTATCATTGTTGTCTATGGGAATTTACTTACTACGGTGCATGGCCGCTATTGCTGTTCGTTAAGGGTGCAGACCACTAATTCAAGTGAGAATGTTTGACCAGCTCATTAGCATTAAAAGTGCCCCCTTCCACAGTATCTTTTGAAAAAGGAGATTGTTTGGCCCCCAAAATGGTGAGATTGTGTAAATCGTTGCCAGGATCAACTCCCTGGGTCTTTGAGCTTTCATATGAGAGCAGAATGGCTAAAAACTACGGTTGAAAAATGGTCCTAAGTGCCCGAGAAAGATGAGGGTTGCCAC